GACCTCGGTAGACGTGCCAACCACGATGATGTCGTCTAAGTAGGCGGCTGTACCAGGTAAACCGGAGAGCATGGTGTCCATGACTTGTTGGAAGATTGCCGGTGCGGTCTTGACACCAAACGGAAGGCGAGTGAATTTGAACAGACCGCGGTGGGTGTTGATGGTCAGGAGAGGTTGGCATTCTTGGTCCACTTCAATTTGGGAGTAGGCTTCCGACAAGTCCAGTTTCGCGAAACACGTGCCGCCATTGAGCACCGTGAAGAGATCTTCGGGGACTGGTAGCGGATAATGATTCGGATTGAGAGCGGCATTGAGACCAGTCGAGTAGTCGGCGCAGATACGGAGCTCGCCGTTTGCCTTCTTCACTGCCACGATCGGTGCCGCCCACGCGGAGTGTGAAATGGGCACTAGGATACCAAGGTCCTCGAGCCGTTTGAGTTCAGCGTCTACCAGGGGCAGGGCGGCATACGAAACGGGTCGTCGCGGCCTGAAAGCAGGTTTCGCCCCATCGACCAGGGTTAGTGTGGCTTTCGTTCGGGTGCAGTGGTGGTTTGCTGGTCTTGGATGCCGGACTGTTCGGGTGTGAACGATCGCTGGGGGAGGGACACTGCGTTGATNGGTTTCGCCCCATCGACCAGGGTTAGTGTGGCTTTCGTTCGGGTGCGGTGGCCGAGACCTTTCTCGAAAACCGTGGGAAAGGCATGAATGATGCGTTGGGCGAGCTGGTTTGGGTCGGCAGGTGAGTGCAGTGAGCGGCATATGACGTTGATGGCAAGCTCGGCCAGTCCGAGCTGTTCGATCCAATCGATACCCAGCAGGTTGAGGCTAGACTGGTTGAGATAGCAGCGAGTGTCGATCGTCGTCTGTTGGTAGGACGCCCGGCAATGCAGTTGCCCTGTTAACTGCAATGAACCGCCGCATGCGCTCGTCGCAAACAACGACGAGGTTTAAAACGCTGGGGAGTCCAATGATTTCCAGGTGTCTTCTGAGATGATTGTGATATCAGATGCTGTGTAGAGTTGAAGACGCATCGGGTGATCGTTGATGGAGACCGTGACGAATTTGCGATGCTCGGCCAGGTTGAGCTTGAAGGTGGCCGTCAGGCCGTACGACTGAGCGGTTTGGTTGGGCTTGTTCGACTTGGGCTTCACACCCAAACAGTCCGGCATCCAAGACCAGCAAACCACTATCCCCATGCCGTCACTG